GCACTCGCTGCAAGCCAGACGCCTCCGCATGAGCCTAGAGATTTGGCTATGCTTCAAATGAGGTCCAGGGGCGGTGTGGTCTTGTGCGAATTCGTTCGGAAAGTACCTCTTACAAATTCTTTCTATGCAGTACGGGAATTGCATGCCACGCCTCCTACCTTGGCTTAAGACCCTGTCCTTGACCACCGAATGCATCACTTTTGTTTTAGGTTGTGTGACGACCTCACACATGATACTTAGCTGGAGCTTGTGCAGGGTTTCGCTTGTAAAGTTTGGGCTCCCGCGCTTTGTTCCAAACTTCCTCACTAGTTGTTCTAAAGTAATACGAAGCTTTGATACCCACTACTCGCCTCAGGAATGGGTAATCGAAATCGCCTATCCTTTCAAGGAGCGGTGTGGTCAGTGTGAGAGCATCCAGACCATAGGTTGATACGGGGACGAAGGTGCTTTGACATGAAGGATCTGTAATTTCGTTCTTTGGCCTAGTGAGCTGTTCCAAACAGAGTCTGAGTTGGGCTAAGCCACACCGTTGTTTGAAGGCTGCCTTGAATGGTTTCTTCCATGTGATAATGGGTCCTGGATGCTTGGAATTGCTTGAAGGCCCTGAAGAAAGCTGCTCTGAGTCTCTGAGGCTGAAAAGCTGTTGACGCGTGCAGAGGAGGCCCGAGTGCGGCCCCGGGACCGGGAGTCCGCCCTGAAACAATTCTCTGCTGACTGCCAGGCAGCAGCCGACGAAGTCGGTTTGTCTGCTACCTGGAACAACTTCGCGTGCCTGTACAGGCCAAGAGCCTTGCCCATGTCGTATGCACGGAGAGAAACCCGGATGTGTCGCAGCGGGTTCAGCCAGGCGCAACAAGAAGCTGCGCTCAGAGGGAGCCTTAGTTGGAGACTCCAGAAGCTCAAAACTACGACGTCAGAGAGAGACAGAGACAGACAGCTGTCCTGTTTCGAGGCCGTCGTGTACCTGGAGCGAGCGTTGGCCATTGAGGCGAATGATTCGTCCAGACTTTGTTGAAAACAACAGAAGCCCGAGCGGGTTGCAGGAGCGCTCTTGCAGCCCCCTCACGGCGTCGAAGCCTCAGCGCTGAGGCTGCATCTATAGGAGAATACAGCGCTGGCCAGGGACGGAGTCTGCAGCGACTCCTTCTCGCATCACTGAGGCAGACCCACTTGAACTTGTGTGCCACGCTTTCGCAGCTTGCTCGCCATGGTCTTTGCCCTCAGCCACCACCGCGACCCCGCAGTTGAGAAAGTTTGCGTTTTTTTGGTGCAGCTGCTAGACAGGTGAGGCCTTGGATCATGCCCAGAAAGCCTTGGTCAAGATTTACGAGGTCCGACACCTGTGCTCCTCGTCTGTGCACGCAGTGTTTTCGTCCGATCAAGAGAAGGTCTTTGTGCCACGCGTCTGCGACGGCGCAGCGCTTGAAAAGGCATGTGTCACTCGTGTCAAGTGTCAGTTGTGACAGACATGCGCCTTTTGTCCATCCTGCTCTGCTATACCACTTGAATCCCGATGCAAAACTCCACAAAAGCTCGCCTGCTTAATTGGCGTGTCCCGATGAGGACCGGAAACAGGTTCTTAACGCTGGGTCTGCGGCCTCTGCTGATGATGTCTCGATGCCTTACACACTCATGAGACTGCGGTCCCCAAAACCATGCCATGCTTGCTCGGTCAGGGCGACTTGGATGAAGCCTTGGCACTTTTATGTGTCGCGCAGTAGCCTTAGTGTAAGAGTGCAGGACATGGTGTTGCTACACGTTGGTTCAGTTGAGCGCCATTGCGGAATGGATATGCCAAGGTATCACAACAAAGGTGTGGAGCATGAGCATATGCTTCAGATGGAAATGGCTTTGGAGGCCGCCATGGTCCCACATACTGCATCCAATGTGACCACTTCCCTTCACCTTCTGGCTCGTGTGAGCCATCGGCTTGCCGTCAGGACCAGGGACCATGCTTCACCATTGTGTTTGTTCCGCAAAGGCCTATGCTTCGGGTTGCCAATGGGCGGCGAGGCCAGCATCTGAGATTTGGGAGGCCGACCGACCCTGCACATCTCAGCCGAAACACGCGGCTTCAGCATGAGCTCTCTGTTGCAGGGCTTTGTACCGGAAGACTGAAATAATTCTCTCCGAATCTAGCAGCTGTACTCATTCTGAAAGGTCACTTGGAAGTGTTGCACGTCGAAGTTGCTAAG